ACGAAAGCTTGTCCTGCACAACGTTGGAGCGCAACCTAGGTCTAGTTCTAACTGGAAAATGGACACAAGCGTAAATTACACGGGGGATGCAGCGAGGGCATATGCGGCCATACACTTTACACATAGACAGTTAGGTGCACTCACTTCTTAGCTCTTTCTAAGGTTGTACAAAACATACCTCAGGTCACACCGTGAAGTGCATAATATTATTGCATCCCTACTGCTTAGAAGAGACGCCAACTCTTGGAAAGAGTTCAGAGACGGGCAACAAAAGTAGTGGTGAATCTCCGAAATAAACCCTATGATGAAAGGCTGAAGAAATTAGGCCTATTCACACTTAATTAACCGTAGTCTTATGGGGGATTTGATTACTGCCTACACGATAACAAATGACCAGAACCACCCAAACAAAGGTGTTCTGCCGTTGAGTAGGCATGGGCTTCCTCGTGGAAATCCCAGAAGGACAGCTTACCAGAGGGCAAGGAACCGAGTGCGCTCCCACTTCTTTTCACTGCGGGTTTGCCGTCCCTGGAATTCCTTACCGGCAGATGTAGCTATGGCACCGTCTGTGGAAACCTTTGCGTGAAGGCTGGACAATCATGCAGAGACACAAGGACTGCGTCCAAATGGCCCTTTCCTTTAGAATCCCATACACCATTCATAAGTAGACAACTGAATTCGTCGTTTCACTTCTTTACACTCTCTCCCGTTTTACTCTCCTCACAATCCCAACAATAACACTTACACTTATATTATTATTGCTGATATTATATATACAAATATATTGTAGCGGTAAATAATACCCCAAAATTAGTGACCACAGCAATCATCACTCAACATTGGATGCTGACTTTCACTGTTTAAGTCGACTTGTTTAGCTGAAGGCTTCTGGTCAAGCATGTGGAGAGCGCAACAATGTGATTGTACACTTTTTGGTTATTTGTAGAAATTAGACATATTGTACATAATTTTTTTTTAAAACTCTTCTGGTTGAAATACCCTTTGCTTCAGTGTACGATTGGAAAATACACTCTGCTGTTGGAGACTTCGTCTTCTCCTTGGTTTCTTCGGCTTACTAGCTCAGCTCTTACCGGGTTGTATCTTTCGGATTTATTGTAGAAGTCCACTACGCTCAACCGAAGACGATTCTACAACCGGGACACAGCAGCTACAACCTACTCCGTACGAACAGTTAACGTCTCCGTGGGTTATATAAATAATTTGTAGCAGAGGACTTAAACTTTATTTCCAAGTAACCCTTTTGTTGATATAACGTGTCGTTGCATTTTTGGTAATATACTGTTACTTAACATTCCATTGACTTGAATTTTATTTCTCATATTTTGTAATACTAGTGAACTCTAACATAAGTCTCCTATAAGCATCCTTGTCATTTGGTATTCCATCGTGTCACGTGCGTGCACGATCACTAACCAGCTAAGCACTCAAACGGTTCACGATTTGGTCCCGAAATATATCTCGTACTTTTGACGACTAAATCTGGTCTTTTGCTTTGTATTTAGTACACGAGAAACGAATACTTTAGAAGTTGTTGGTATAAGATCTTGCGTTAGTATACTCCGTACAATTCACGAACGTCGATACCGTCAGCCTCTAAACTGGTGAGCCCAACCGCGAACTTCATCCTCAATTAGCAGGCAGATAAACCTGGTGAGTTCGTTCCTTTTTGTGTTTGTTCTTGTACTATATTGTAGTTGGCATACATTTCATCATGAGTGATCCTAGTCCCAAGGTTATTCGTATTCGCTCAACTGCCAAAACCATTCAGCTCGTACCATATTGGCCAGATAATGCTGAAACGTGGTTTCAGAAAGCTGAGTCTGATTTTTGTGAGCATGGAATAACCGATCAACGTTCACAGTTCCTCCCAGTTATTCACGCCCTACCGCAGGAATTCAGCAGGTGCATAACTGTGCAGATGTCGAGTCCAGAGGTGAGTAACTCGTACGAGTTGCTCAAAGCATCCCTCTGTAGTGGACCTAGTAGCTAGGTAAGTATATAAACGCAATTAAAAGGAGAGAACAAGTACTAACAAATACGTATATATAAAATATTCGGTTCACTTAAGTTAATATACACAAAAAAGGGACTGAGTTTATTTGAAGAAAACTATAACAGTCACAAAATACACAAATTATAGACGTACGAAATTATAGGAATGTAATTGTCCTTCTCTTGATTATACAAATTCTCCACTACAACTTAGCGCTGTCAACCGTCGGAAGTCTCCACGTAGAGTAAGGCAGATAGGAGCGAAGTTCTCGAAGGGGATGTGTCAACCAGTGCGAGACAGCGTTGGTCAGCGGATGTGCTGGGCGAGCAGCCGGAGAGAGGGCGAACGATTCGTTCCTTGCGCGCGGTTCAAGGTTTCAGGTTGAATTCCTTCTTTTTTTCGTGAACATATAATTTGATATGTTTTCAGGTCGCCACACCTCCTCAAGAGAAATGTTCTCACGGATCGACAGCGTCTGGATGAATTATTTCGTAACAGCGAGTTAGGGGATCAGTCAGCCGTGAGCATGCTGACAAGAATGAGAGAGGTTATTGGCCAAAGTCAGTTCGATGAAGGACTGTTCAGAGAACTCTTCTTATCCAAACTACCACAGCACAACAACACCATCTATCCATTTTTTCTTATTCTTGCTGTATGGCGTTTACTGTTATTTCAAGATCTGTGTTCTTGCATTTATACATCACTTTTAAGTCATCTGCATATAGTATTGGTTTACCTACACTAAAGCATTCACAGATACTGTTTATGTATATTATGAATAAGAGTGGGCCTAATACACTTCCCTGGATCACACCACTACTTACCGGTTTAGGCCTTGAGATTATTGAGCCAACTTTCGTTGTCTGACTTCGGCCACAGAGAAATGATTTTATCCAGCTCAGGAGAGGGTCACATATCCCTAGTGAGCATAACCTGCTGACTAGCAGATTATGGGGAACTCTGTCGAAGGCTTTTGTTCTATCGAAATGTAGCACAATTACTAGTTCTCTGTTGTCCCTACTTCGTGTAACTTCGTTGAAAAAGTCTATGTGACAGGTCACACATGATCTCTTTTTAAGAAATCCGTGTTGTGATGGATCGATAAGTTCATGTTCCAGTAAGTTGTCTGACACTTGGTCTTTAACCACTTTCTCCATTATTCGGGATATTACCGGTGTTATATTGATAGGTCTATAGTTGCATGCACTAGTTTTGGCCCCTGCTTTGTGCTTAGGTAATATGTATGTGGTTTTCCACACTTCAGGATAAGTTCCAGTTTCCAACGAGAGAGTAAATATTCTAAGTAACAAGACTACCATTTCCGTGCTACCATTTTTGTATATGACAGATGGTATGTCGTCTGTTCCAGTACTACCATTAGACTTCAATGTCTTAATCGCTGAGTCTATATTTTGTATATTAAAGTCTATTTCGCCTAAATTGTGGTTGCTTTTGCAGGTCATTTGGAAATTTGGGGTCGGGTGCACTCTGGTGTCATTGCAAAACCACTCACTGAGGAGTTCACTTATAACCTGGGGATCATTGTATATTATATCCTTATGTTCCAAGCTGCTTACAGTATTGTCTTTACTGCTTTTTAGACGTTTCTACAATATTCTACGAAGTTCCTGAATTTTAAAGTTACCCACAAGCGCTTTATTTTCTTCAAGTTGTGACATCATTTTGCGTTTCTCTTCAAGCAGTTTAAGAGTTTCATGTATTTGGTTTAACGCATTAAATTCCTTAAATACATGGTATTTCCTTTTCAATTTCTTTAGTTTTAGTCGCGTTTTGCGGTCTATAAATGGAGTTGGTGTCTTTAGAGCTGATTTTAGGGGCGCGATTGTGTCTCTTGCTGAGCCAATTGTTTTGTAGAAAATCTCAAGTTATGCTTCTAAGTTATTGTTGACGAAGTATTCTTCCCAGTCAGAACTTCTCAACAGATCTGATAGGAATTCCCAATCAGCATTCTCATAGTCCCTATATTGATAGTGCACCGGGGAATTTTTAGGTGTGTGTTTAGTTGTTAGTCGGGGGGGTAGCGTGCAGTACAATATGTTGTGATCACTGTTATCAAGTTTATTTCTCCTCGACATGCTTTTACTCAGGTAAAAAAAAGCTATTACGGATGCCACACTTCTCATGTATCAGGATCCAACGGCACCGTCTGTGACTGTTGGTCTTAAATAAGGTCTAGACTACCTGGTTAAAATTTTCTAGGTTCTGGATAATATTCATATAAGTATAAACCTTGGGCACTGTGTTGTGGTAGAGTAAAACTACTCCATTATGGATAAGATTTTCTGTTTTGATAAACTGTCACTCACAGTGTGTGTGTGTGTGTGTGTAGTGTTATACAGAAAGTAATATTAACTGATACGACCACACGCTTCGAGCACAATTTATTATTGCCACTCATAATCATCATATCAAGTCACTCACTCACTCACACAACTTTCGTCTTCCTTCATTTATATACATGAGTGGGGTTGATGATTAGATATTGGAATTGCAGTTTGCCTTCTTCTCTTCGTTTTATTTTACAATCTAACCTCATGGCTAATTCGCCTTGTTCTTTTTCCGATTGAAATGTGAATTTTATTCTCCCTACTAGTGAGTTTATATGTGTGTGTCAAGAAGCTAGAGAGAGATATGTTCTGTTTTCAACACTGTGAGTGAAAGTGTCATCCACATATCTCAACCATATTTTTGCAGTAGGATTAAATGTATTTTACTCTACCACACTGCCCAAATTTTATACTTATATTATGCCTCTTATTCTTAAGTTCACTACCACTTTCGTCATTTTAATCGACCTTTATTATATGAAGTTGATTTGATAAAAGTAGGAGAAATTTATCATAAAGGGATTATTGATGCGTTTCTTCTTTTATTTGAGCTGAATATGCTCTATGTGTGTGGTTGGATTATTAAAAAAGAAAGATTTGTTATTATTTTTTTTTTATTATTATTGATTATTGTCTAGATTTATGAAGAAGCATTTACAAGCTGAAGGTCCAGATCCTTCGGATGTTGAAGCAATGAAGCTAGAGATTGCAGAATTGAAACAAAAACTTGAATTGCTGGAAACTGAAAATGCAGAGCTAAAACGAAGCTTAAATCATCATCAACAACAGCTGACTCCAGTAACTGGAACAAATGATGGGAATACAACGAATTAGGAACACAAAACAACAACAACAACAAAATAGAGAATGTATTAACCATAAGCCAAGCATTACACTTTGTAAACTTTTTATACATACAAATATATATTACATGTATATATGTCCGCGAAACAAGTTCACTTTCAACAGTTTGAAAAACTTTGGGCAATGGGTGATATATGATATTCATTATCATGAAGGTTTTTTGTATTTCCCAATGAATGAAAAACAAAACGATATTGTTGCTCTTATTGACGTTTCGCTATTCAATGCTGCTGCTGCTAATAGCTTTATCAAAGCAGTATTATTAAACCAGAAGAATTTACAAAATCCACTCAGCATATATATGTAACAAAGAGTTAATGGGTGGGTGAGAAAATAGACTTGACTACTTAGGTCAAGTTAAAAGGAGGACATACTGAAGGTGAAAATAACAATGAAGATGAATGACTAAACCAAATAACAAAGGTAGTAATAGTACATCTGCACTGGTTGGTATCAAAACAAACTTTACTAACTTGATCATCGTTCGTCAGTCTGGGGTCATTTTTCGTTGTCAAATTGGCTAATTTGTAAAGATAACAAAACCAAGTGTAGATTGTTGGATTTGATAAGTGTGTAAAATTATAAAAGCAGTGTGTGCTTTAACTTAGTGAACATGCTTATCACATTCGTGTTGATCTCGTCAATTCATGGGGGGAGGGAGGTGTTGTAACCAGGTCAGATTCTGTTTTAGTCCATCATTCCTATTCAGTTCAGACACTTTGAATTCCTCTCGATGACATGAGGTGCTTCTGATATTAGACGTTCTTTGTGATTTCTGAAATGCTTTTCCTGAATGATGATTTTAATATTGTCAAAATCAATTTCGTGGCCTGATTCTATAGCGTGTAGACGACCTATGGCTGGCTGATGATTTTTCAAGTTTTTCTAGTTCAACCGGATTTCTCTGTGGCCGAAGAGATGCTCTAATAAATAATCTTAAAATTCTATTTTAATTCACGTACATCACAACATTCTGACAAGTTACTTACTTCTTCCACGAATCTAAAATGCCATCAAAATTCAAATGCTCGACGCTGTCATCCTCTAAGAGCGGATGCTGATCTTCACTCGATTTCTATTCAGTCGAGTAGGTAGACAGACGCCTAGCAATTATCCCCCCCCCCACCAATAACAGAACTCGAATACAAATCGTTCATGTAATTCAAAGATATATTGAGATATTTCCACAGGTCATCAAGTTATCCAAAAATGTAAATTGATATCACCTCTCTTAACTGCTGATCATAACGTTTGACCATGTGTCAAGGACCCTTTTAGAAACCATGCATGGCCTTCCAGATCTCCTCCGGGCATCACATTCCTCCTTGAGAGGCAAGAAATTACAGAACTGTATCACACTAACAGCAGCAGCGCCAGCACAATGCCTCAATTAATAAATCAGCATTATTTCATCACTCAACATCAATCACTTCACAATCTCCTCCACAAAGTGACGATAGTGTCAACTGAATTCCCATCAGAGAAGACTATGCCTCGAATTCACGCAACTTTCTCCTCGAAAAAAACAATCTTCATCACAAACACACACACATCAACCATAGCCCCAGGCATTTTATCAATAAAAACGAATCATTTTGTGGGGAGAGCTGTCTGATAGCCAAAAATTGGTAGACAGTAATTTACGTCGATGTTTATGTCCCAAATATTGATCATGAGAAAAATAAGAACAAGAACAAAGACTGACTGACTCAACCAACAACCAATCACAGCACACTTTGTTTTTGTGTAGGCGTTACCATTAGCAGATAGATAGATGATCTGACCTTCAAAAAACAGCCAATCAGAAGACCGTGTTTGTCTGCTAACAATAATCTATGATAATAATGTCCATGAAGATCGATAAATATGCGTTGATTTCGTAAATAAACGATCTGTTTGGCTGGCCCTTGTCTTTCTGTTGTTATAATTTCACTATCGATACACTCCAGTGGTCGCGTCCAAACTGTCTATTCCTTAGCCCAGACATTATAGAGTGTCGCCAAAAATTAAAACCAGAAGGTATATATGCCAAGCAATGCTTGACGGAAAAATCAAACAGAACTGAGGACCATCAGTGGAGCAAGCAGAGGAGAGACTGACTGACTACTTAATATTTGCGTTGAAAATCCGAACCTTGTTCTTTATAGTGACTGCAATGGATCTCCATACAGATTTCAGAGTGATCAAGGTGAGATACGATAAGACCATTCTATCATATATTTACCACTTTGGAGTGGTTCATCACACTTCTGAAATGCCGATAATCGATTGCTACTCCAGTCAACTTCTTCGCAATACATAGCAACATGCATTTTTTTTGACAGCTCGAGAATTAAACATTAGTCTGGACCCTCAACAAAAAAATAATAAGGGTTGTACAGATCTAAATTATAAATAAAAAGAAAGTGCTTTTGCTCCTACCATCTACAAGCCTGTTCAGCTTCTTGTCAAGATGCTACTCGTTGGGCCCTACAGAAATTAGTGAGACATCTCACAGGCCAGATTGTTCTACGTGTTCTAATTTTCCAGATCTTTGAATTCAGTCCTCACTTAAAAACATCACTAACCTGCCTCACAATAATTTTTTTATTTACGCACTATTATACTCTATCTGATCTTAACTACCTAGGCCTTTATTGAAGCTAAAACTTGCTCTTTGTTCATATTTGTTACTTGCCGAAAGTCTGGTTGCTTTGATTAAAAACACAACAACAACAACACCAATGTTTGAACAAAGCTATATCTTCATCGAAAACATCATAGTTTCCATGCTTAGACCAATATGGTTAGCATCACACATTGCAAATGTATATACTATCATTTCAAGTACTATATAGCTCCTTCTTCTTCTTCTTGTATTTATCTTGTAAATATACTTCCAATAATATATTATTCATAATTGCATTTTATACCATTGATATAAGAATAAAACTTGTGCACTGTGGTGGTAGAGTGTAATTCCACTATGGGTAAATTTTGTTTTGATTAAGTCTCACAGTGTTGTTATACAGTAATGTTTACTGATGACGTTTTGAGCACAATTTATTACTGCTCATAATCATATCGAGGTAATCACACGACTTCCTAAATTCATTTATATAGTTCCATTGTTTTTCACTTGATTTGATTGGTAGTAGTATTTTCTATATTTCGGGTATGGAGTGATGATTCATTCCTATTGCATGTGTTGGGTGTAGATTCAATGAACAAGGATTCAGTAATCAACCTCTCTCCATTTCCACCTACCTAGATTACTTTTTAGAATTTTAACCCTCTCCCACCATTCTATTGTGCGGTTGTGTGTTAATGCACGCAGTGCAATTGCTCAGCTTACTTATCTTCTCGGGGTCAACCATTCTTACCTTGGCTAAATTCTTATGTTCTGACAATCTGACTACCCCCAATCTACTAGTTTGACCTATGTAGTTGACCTCACAGTCATTGCAGGGTATTTTGTAAATTATATTATTTTGTCTAATTGGGTCAACCGACAGGGTCCTTTAACCTACAGAGCTTATCCCTGAGTGAGTTTTCAGGTTTAATATTCATTATGCGCAATAAATTGTGCTCGAAACGTGGTCATCAGTAAACATTACTGTGTAACACTGTGAGACTTAGTCAAAACAAAATTTACCCATAATGGAATTGCATTTTATACCATTTTGCAGTTGCGCAGAATTTTTTTCTCTTCCTGAAATAGCGTTCAATCACGTTCAATCACCCAGACAGATACATGCGCTGTTCCCTACTGGTTGACCATAACTATCAGCAGGCAACCCAACGGAACGAAGTTTCGGTTGTCGCTCAACTTTGATGGTGACACCTTAGTAAACCGGTTTACAATTTAACATTTATAAGAACCTGTTCTGATTGCTTGTACAATAATTGAACAATTTAAACTTTTGAAAAAGTAGTAAATTATATGATACTTCAGGATTGTAATTTATAACATTACTGATCGTGCCTGTAAAATGGCATGGATTTCTTGTAAACTTACCCGTTTATACGAAATATAAATTATTAATATTATAGAAAGAATCCCCATTTAGACATTTACGAAACAGAAAGATTGAGCAGCGAAGAAATATTTACTTTTCAATTAGATCCTCCCTCATCTCACTCTGGCTCTACTCTGATCAATATACACGTATACACGCATTTTTATTACAATACACAGCAAGCAATTTACCAATCATCAAGTGGCACTGATATGTTGGTTTGTTTGTTAACAATAATTAGTTAGTCAGTGTCAACATGTCAAACAGGCAAGGGGTGATAATTAACGAGGGAATTTAGTATACACACAATCAGAAAGGTAGAAATGGTTACAACAAAGCAGGAACTAAAGTGGTTGGAATTCAAACAAACCACAAAGTCAATTAGAAACAAGCTTTGTTGGTTGAAGGATCAATCCTGCCAGTGGAGCCTTTGAAACAAAACAATTTAGTTTATCTAATACCCTACATGCAATGATTGTCAGGTCAAAATACATACGTCAAAGTAGTAGAACAGGAGCAGTGAGTCAGACTAGCTGTGCATAAAACCTAGCAAAATCTAGATTGGTTGACCCGAATAAGATAAGAAATCTAGAGAATAGTTCGGCAGCTATTGCAAGCACTACTACAGTAGACTGGATGGGATGGGATGACAGTTTTAAAATCTAATGTCACAGGGTGAATAGTGGGAGGGAGAGATTGATAGCAACAGAAGCTTTGTGTATCGAATCAACTGAGGGGGAATACGTGTAATAGGAATGATTCAACACCTATCCACACAGATATCTGGTAAATTCTACTACCCCAATGACGACGACAAATAGGAGAGGACAAGAAATACTATAAAACTCAAGTTTTGAAGTCGTGTGATTATAATTGACGAAATGATTATGAACAGCAATAATGAATTGTGTTCGAAACAACTTTGTCATCCAGTAAATACTAATACTGTTTCAAACACTGACTGTGTGATAC